CTCTCTCTCTCTCTCTCTCTCTCTCTCTCTCTCTCTCTCTCTCTCTCTCTCTCTCTCTCTCTCTCTCTCTCTCTCTCTCTGTCTCTCTCTCTCGTGCGCGCGCAGGCGCTCTCTCTCTCTCCATCTCCATCTCCATCTCCATTTGGGCTCTTGGCAACTGGGTCATGGTGTGGGAAGTCATAAACCACCAGTACTTGGCTCAGCTATCGGCCGCGGGAAAGAAAATAGAGTAGAAGCATCTCTAGTTGGACGAATTTGGGCGCTCTTGTGGTGGTGGGTACGTTACCTAAAGTCCTGGCTTGTTTACCCGCATGACTTCAGGAAGTACCCCTAAAAAGGCTAAAAGGTTACGAATTGCAGACTTGGACTTGTTCCTTACTGGCATGACTTACTGTTTACCTCAGCCTGCCTGAGACCAATGGATAAGGGGTGGACCCCACTGCCTGGCGTAGGCTTCGGCCAAACCCAAATCGTAGGCCCCAGCAATGGGAAACAGAAAAGCGGACCCCACTGCAGCACGAATTTTCGGCTGGTCCGTCCTTGCTGGTTACCTGATAGGGAAAACTTTCCCTATACAGAGACTTCACATCCGCTTGTCTCCGTGCTCGTCCAATCCCTGGCTCTCCGTTCCACATGCTATGCGCAAACTGAGGGGGTGCACCCCCTCCCCCTCCCCCCTCAAGATGGCCCGACCGCAAGGAACGGGCAAAAGCACACTAAGTGGAAACGCTTCCCATGTCATTTGTCAGCGTTTTCCGAAGCTTTACCGCAAAGCAGTGGGGTCTCACAAATCGTCTTCCAAAGCTTTGCCGCAAAGCAATGGTGTCTCACAAATCTTCTTCAAAAGCTTTGCCGCAAAGCAGTGGGGTCCAGCTCTAACCATAGGATCCAAAACCTATTTAATTTAGTCTGAACGTGTTTGCTATGCAGGATTCAGGCCCTTTTCAGGGTCCTTCTGCGAAGTACCCATCATAATGAAATTCTTCGTCCGCTGTACTTCCGGACAATATGCCATGAGGCTTCAGCCATAGGGGACTGACGGCCACTGACCCAGTCCCTGCCCCTTTTGATCCAGCCAGAAATTAGCAAATGGAGGCTATTTTTTTGCCTGTATACCCTAGTACTCACTTTCTTCTTCTTTTGAGAAATTTCTTATTCCTGCTAAATTACGCTTTTTCTGTTGAGAAATTTACCCTCCCTCCCGTAGGGGTGGGTACGTTTCCCAATGGCACTTGAACTTCCTACGGGATGGGTACATTTCCCAATGGCACTTGAATTTCCTTCCCTTTCTTTCGGGTTGGAGCCATGATTAACCCCTGAATGGGAGAGGACACTCTGACAGACACGGGAGTCAGAGTGTTTGCCTCTTCAGAATCAAACTCGTCAACCTCCTTTCCCTCTGCTAGGCAGTGAATGAACCTGGTCACCCAGGCTCTCCACTACTTTTCACAAAATGGTGAGGCCACTGAGGCGGGCCTGGATACCTTCTTCCCCAGAACATAACACACCCTGAAAATTAACGTATGCAAGGCATGTTTCCGGCCCGATACAGTCAAAATGAGGGTGCGTTGTGTTCGGGGGAAGAAGGTAGTCTCCAAGCAGAGACTTCATCTCCCCTTTCCACGGCTTCCTGTCAGTTGGTCTGAAAACAGACCCCTGAAGAGGCCAGAGGGCGACCGGCAGAGACAGGTAGGGTCAATTCGCTGTGCCATGGCGTATAAGGTTTTTTTTTTTTTTTTTTTTTTTTTTTAAGACTAATTCTTTGAAGCCCAACCACTGATGACACACTGCTGCTGTTTCTACAACTCTGGAAAAAAATAATAATAAATAAATAAAGAAACGCAGCCAGACTGCGACGGGGATTTTTTAACATTTTCTGTGATACTTGCCTGTGTCCTATAATTTTTTTTTCATCTTCCACGTCATTTTCTGAGTCTTGGTCCTCTTCGGTCCACTCTTACTCTAGGCTCTCGCCCAATCTCCATCTACCATCTATTCTCCCCTGCCTGTTCTACCCCACTTCCGAGTCATCTTCAGAATCTGTGTCGTGATACTGACGGTAACTCGTCATTTCAAGTCAACAAGGCTACCATCTTCCCCCGAACACAACGCGCCCTAATTTTGGCTGTATCTGGCCGGAAATATAGCGTGCATACATTCATTTTTAAGGTGCGTTATGTTCGGGGGAAGACAGTAGTTTCCCTCCAACTGATCCAGATGCATTTCCTTTGAAATTGACAGAATTACCTCTCAGAAAAGACTACTCGCTGGAGCATTTCTTTTGTTTTTTTTAGGCTGTTTGATTGGTACCCCCTGAGGAGGAGTAACCCTAGTGCGAGAGCTGGGGGACTTTTTCTCATCAGATGCGATTGGCGTTGGGCAGTTTAGGCTGTTTGATGGGTACCGACTGAGGAGGAGTAGCCCTGGTGCGATTGGCGTTGGGCAACGATGTTTCGCCTCTTCAAGGACAGAGACTGGATTTTCCGAGAGGGTAAGGAAATTGCAGGTTGATGATGACGTTTGTCTTTTGCTGAAGAAAGATGCCTTAAATTACTTTTTCACTTTCTGATGTCTCAAATAGTGACTACTCAAGTAATTGGTCTTGTTTGTTGTTCTTAGCAATTGGGCCTCAGTCCGTGACGTTGTGGGATCCGGGTCAAAGGTGTTGAATGTATTATCTCCTTTAGGGTTGGAGTCCCTCCCTGCGCGGGTTACATAAGGTGGGTGGTGTGATCCTTGAGAGGGTAGGGGCGGTATTGAGGGTTTGTCCTTTTCTGGGCCACGCTGATTTTTGGGTTGGATCAGCTATGGCGGTTGGGGAGAGAGGACAACTTGAAGGGGTGCTGATGTCAGCAGGGTGAGAGTTGAGAGGGCTGTTCCGCTTGGAGGGGGTGGAGCAGGAAGGAAGGGGGATCTTCGGCTCTGGGGGGCATACTTTAGGGGGTATTGTATGTGACTGAGGGAGCAGGAGGGGTATTATGGGGGATGTTCTGAACTGGGGCGGGGAGGTGAGGGGGCGCCTTCCTGCGGAGGCAGTGAACAGACAGGGGGTTGCCGTTTGGGGGAGACAGGTAATCTCGTTGTTCTTGTGACCCCTTTACATGTAACTGAGACCTCCATAGACGCTGGACTTTCCATGGGGTTTCCCTTCTTCCTGTGGAAATAGTAGGTGTTGAAATGATCATCTCTTGATTTCTGTTTTCCTAGTAATTGAAAAATTCCCCCAAGTTTTGGAGTTGAAGGCAGGGGCACCATAGTAAGACTTGCCGGAGTAGGGTTGGGAAGGTTTTGTTGGGGGATATTTGCAAGATGAATGATGGGATCTACAACTATGGTGTGTGATGCGCCAGCTTCCGGGCCTGCACCATCTTCCAACCCCCACCCCCCTCTCTTTTTTGAATTTTGATGTTCTGGCAAATAGGCCGACGGGGCCTCTTTTTGTATTTCTATGAATTAATGTGCATTGTTCGTAATCAGGGAGGCCCGTCATTCTCAGGACCTTCGTCTATTGTTTTTTTATTAACTTTTGAAATTTCATTTTTTCACAATTCGGGAAATACATGGGAATTACGCGTGCCTTAGCGAGCATGCTAGGAATTTGGGTTGACGGTTAGGAATTCCGGAATACGCGGAACCTGACATGTCCTTTCTTGTGCATGAATGCTCTCGACTTCATCTTGGAAAACTTTGGGAATTTTCGTAGGAATCTGAATAGGTATAGGACTTTTTCTCGCGCTCGCTCTACGCGCGGATATGGTACTTTTCAATTTTGAATTAGCTGTAATTGTTTCGGTGCCCTTCTTGCCACCTCATCGGCCCCATGCATGCGAACCTCCCGTCCACGTTTCCCTCGCTACCTTCGATACTCTCTTCTTCGCGCTCACGCTCCTTCTCTCTCTGTAACCGTTTTCCATCTCTCCCTCACCTCGCGCGCCTTTTCTCTTTCTTGATCGTCGGAATCTTGGTTCTGTTTTGCACTATCCTTCGTGCTCTTCGTCTTCCCGCTCTAAACCTTGCGCCGGAATACCCTGAATATTTTCTCCTCCTCCCCGCTAGCCAAGGAGACACGTTGTGTAAGAAGGATATTCCTGTTATACAACGATTCTGATTGGCTACGACTGGATTCTGAAGGATCAACATGGCTTTCGTCGGACAATTATCCCCGAACTTCCCCTTACCCCTCCCTACCTCAGTCCTAACCCTTCCTAGCGTCTATCTCGTTTTCCGTAGCTATAAATCCCGCAAGCGCTCCCGAAAATCTCTCTCTCAACTCATCTGCCAACTTACGGGAAGCAGTGGCTAGAGTGTGTGTAGGGCGAGTCGAAAAATCATGACGGGCTGACTTTAACCTTGTCGGCTGTGCGCTGGATCGCCTGTCGGATTGTGGGATCTGGGCCAGACCGTGCAGAGACTAAGTTGGCGGGGTGATGATCGCTATGGTGGATTAACATGTGATGGTCGGAATCGTCATTGCTCGTGAGAGGTTTGAATTGGGAGTTAAGTGAATGTATGGCCTGGGGCCATGGTTGAACCTTATGGCGGAAGCGCCTCTTTTTGTCCCGAAATCTGTATCTTCAAGTGTGAATTCTTATCACTCGACTTCTAAGCCTGGATTTCCCTTGACAAGATCGTCGGACATTCTGTGATTGCTTTCTACTCTTTCCTCCCCTCTGATCTGCGTCTATTCTCCCTCACTCTCTTCTTCAGTTATGTTTGATTATGATGAATGGATTATAGTAACTTTGCTTCTCTAATTTTGATATGTGTATGTAGTGGGTCATATTAGAGAGTTTGTTTTAACATGACTGGGATGATGATTGGTTGATCGACTGTATGATCTGGCTGCTTAAGAGTCTTGAACGAATGATGTATGGTTAGGAAAATTTTTTGTGCTCGTATTTGTTGCCATATGGATTGATGGCCCCAACCCGACCAGGCGCCAGCTTCCCGTGCCCCCGCCACGCCCCTTCCCGTACAACAAGGAAAGGACACGTGTATGCGAGTGAGACGTACGAGAAGTCGCCGCTAGGATCGGCGGGCGCTACTACTTTCCTCCCGAAACTCGGCGTTCCAGATTCGTCGGTGCGGGTTTTGTCATTGTTGATACGCACGTTCCGTTCTACTCGTTGTTGTTGCCATTTAATGAGTTGATCGTCATCCCACGGACGGCAGTAGATCCTCATTGGCCTAACACTCTGTACAGCGATTGTTCCCAATTCGAGCGTTACCGAGCCAAGAGTTTCCACTACTGCACACGTAGCGAGGATGAACATAAGGAGAGGGCTACTCGATTGAAGTCGTCCACGTCGGACTCGGAGTTGTGTAATGAGCGCAGACGAGACCTCACCCGTAAACGGGATACCACGTGTGTACTTGCCCCCTTTCACACGAAACGAGGAGCAACGGCTCGCTGGGAAGTCCAATGATACTTTTTGGATTGAATTTCCCATAGCCGTGAGCCCAGCGCACGCCTTTCTCTCCCTTAAATCCGTGCAGCGACGGACCTTCTTCTTAATAGGGTCAGACCAATACGGGGGATTTCAGTTTTGTCTGTATCCCCACACTCAACTTTTCCAAAAATCCTTGGCACACCTTATCTTTGCTGTCTTCCCGGGCCCTTCCGCAATCCAAAACACTCCAACCGGGAAGCCCACACGTGTCAGTTCTGACGTTAGTAAGGCGAGCTGGCGAGGGGAAGATCAACCAACATATCTTATCGTTTGAGTCCTCCGATTACCCGACAAGGGTCCATGGAAACCCGACCAGTGATGCCCATGGCCGACGCTAATGAAGCGGTTCCCTGGGTGATGGTGAGCATCCTGAGTCCCCGCCACCTTCCCGTTTTTATCCCAACCATACCCATCCCGAGGCATGGCTCGAAGTCGTGCAAACTCAGGGATATGGCGTAGAGAACCTCCCTCGTGTCATCACCCTGCTTCTCCGAAACACCGCTCATGATTGGTTTAGGTGGGTAGATTGGGATACATTCAAGA